ATATTTAACAATCTGGATACCATCCCTGTTTGGAAATAGTTCTACTAAAGACAGAAATCATTACCCAGCGTTGCTATAATAAATGGATTTGCCTTTTTACATTTTTCTCTTGACATCTTGCAACAAAATGATTTTTTTATTTAAAGTGAAATACTATATTCAATCAGTGCAAATGAAGTTTAGCAACTCATTCTGAGTAACGCCATCTCACAGGTAACCATCAATTGCATATCATTTCACCATAACACTTGTAAATCCTTTAACATTGCACTCCATGCTAATACACATTAGTAAACGCAAGGAGGTTTTCACAGAGCAACATTATATCTTAATGAAATGTAAAATGTCATGGTACAGTAAAAATTTAAAGAGCAGGCTAATTAACAAGACATGCACACAGTGTATTAGTCTAGTCAGCTAAGATTTACCTGCTTTTTCCCACATGATGAAAGTTTCATGCACTTCCTGCTCAGTAAAAGTTCACTTTATTTTTTTCTAGAAACTACCTTCTATAATGGTCATGTAAGAATCTGATAAAAGCTATATATAAATACCCACAAAACCTTAAACTGTGAAAAAACAAAGATAACTTTGAACAAGCTGCTTCAATGACTGACACCTTGCAGTTTTACTGCTCATTCATTATAGTTCTCTGCGGCATGTATGTGTCTAATAGAAAATATTGCTCATGGAAAGAACAGAGCTATTCTAGAAGTAACACATTCATAGGAGTACACAGCATCCATAGAATAACTGTTCTTGAAAGGACTCTTCACTTAAACAGTCCTTCCAAGACGAGCTGTTGCCCAGACAAACACCACGTCATTTGCTTTAATTCGGCACACTGTTCCAACCCACTGACCTGTGAGCCCTGAGACAGGACACAGGTCAGCCCATTAAATGGTTCAGCCTCATTTTGAAAAGCCGCTTCTGTTGTATATCAACATTTATACGACTATCATATCCATACACTGTATAGCTTTACTACATCTTTACTTATTCACAGACATTATACACTTTTCCTCAGAATGAGTCATATCTTGTCAATTAGTCCTATTGGCATCAGGGCCTGCTGTGAAATAAAGCACCACTTAACTCCGAGTAAAACTAGCAGAATTAGGGTTTAAAATATTGCTTTCATTTGGTCATTAGCTGCATGTCATTTAAAAACAGAAGCGTGCAAATTAATTGCTTGTAGTCAGAAGTAATCACCGGGAAAAAAAAAAAACGAACAAAAGACAGTGACCCTCCAGTGTAAAATATATACTCAAAGTCTAATACAAAGGCTAAAATTTGAACAACCTCCCGTTTATCATTCTTAAGATTTATATACAACCACAGCTTGAACGCTGTGTACTTTTTAAAAGGGTGAAGTGAACAAAATGTTTAGTTAGAAGTACTTCAAAACTACTTCATTTCTCTGGGACTCACTGATATAAAACACTCATGTTTTTAGTTTCCAGAATTTACCATGAGATTTAGAAATAGACAACAAAATAATGGAAAAAGATTTTTTTTTAAATAAATATTAAATTCCTAGAAAACACAAAGTTCAAAAATGTTTGTTTTTCACTACTTTGCTACTTGCTTTTTAAAAAACTCTTATTCATGGAAAATAGCACCTTAGTCCTGAGGTATATACAAAAAGGGTAATATGTATAGAATAAGGTAACGTTATAGGTGAGTATGCAGTATTAGAATCAAGTCTGGTTAAAACTGATTTATACAATTCCCCACTGAACACAGTGCAAAACTTAAAGATATGCAGCAGGAGCTCTTTCTTATCAATTCACGGAGCATTACACCAACAATGAGCACAGACTGATCACGAACCGGAGGGGCAGCAGACCAGCAGTCAAGAGGAAAGAGATGGATCTCAAATTCCCATATGACATTAGTGAGAAAGAAATACAATCTGCTTTTGACTTTCAAATCAGATTGACTTCAATGGTCAAAAACAAAGCATAAACATCTACTTTGAGAAGAAAAATCATAGCTAAAATGACTTTTCTTACAGCTCTGGTTAGCAACCAAAGCATCTTATTTTCTTAAAGTCTTCTATTTTCATTGGCAACTGGTTTTAAACCATATACAACGAGGCAGAAAATTATGCCCACACATAGAACTTTCAAGCTAGACCTAGTGGTAAGTTTGTTCAGTGTTATTTTATACATTCATTTATCCAACTTTGGATAAAAGCTTCATGTATCATTTATTTACAATAACTAAAAAAGTTAGAGAGTGTGTAAAACTGCTATACCTGCATGACATGTACATTTAAACAAATTAAATAATGGCGTACTGTTTTATGCAGTCAAATAGTAAAATATATGGGGAATAGGATACTATATTACCACTAACTAAAGCAAATATACACTCGGGCCAAAAGAATCGGCTCTTAACTCTGCAGGTCTCATACGCTGACGTTAAGTAAACTGATTATCTGCAGAGATTTATGAGGATTTCTTCTTCTTCCTGTTCCCTTCTCCCTCCCAACCCGATTGACTAGCATTTTCTCTTTTCCATTTTATGCTGTAAGAGAGATATGCACTAATAAGCTTGTTATAATTCTTTTCACTTGATATACTTGAATACCTCTTCTCAGCATGGCGCTGAGATTCCGTCCTGGCTCACAAGCAAAGCGCTTGCTGGCTGCCAGCACTGGCATGCTCTGTACAGCTTACGAAGGTATACGGTTAAGTAAGTTTTCTGAGAGTTAAGGTATCATCCACCAAATGAGTTTGGTGACCTCTAACTTACAGAGCATACTTTCTTTTCTACATGATAGAGCACTTATTAGAACATTAAATTATATTTTGATCATTTATGCTTAGGTTTATTAATTCCTTCTTCCTTAAATAAAATGATGATTGTCAGCATTTACTGTTAGGATCCCTTTCTAGATGCCATTAAGGCTAATTCCAATCAAAATAGAATAGAATTATTTAGTACAACATGTTTCCATTATTTATCGCTTTCATGAATCATTTAAAGACTTCATGTCAGCCACTGAAAACATTCATGCTGAACTTATAAAAAGTAGACAATATATTATGCACGCCACCCACCGATTTATCCTTTCGGAAAGTCTCTTGCAGACCACTTACCAATACTGCCACTCACTTGTTACAAAACATTGTTTTTTTAAAAAATTCAGGACTGTCTAAAAGATAAATAGAAGTGTTTATAAAATATATAAACAAACAATAATTGTCTGTGGTTCACACTGTTAAAACCAGTATCTTGCGAGACATCAGCTGATAGCAGATGTTTCAGAAAAAGGTATTTAAGTGTACTAGTCTGAAAGAGTACATCCATTATCAAAGATTTTTCCTAACCTCTTTCTTAGACTGGCTTTTCTGTGGACGTATTTGTCTTCTGCCATGCTTAAAATCAAATCCCAAAGAAACCTATGTACATAGCCCATACAAATAGCTAATCATTTTTTTAAATCCTATTCTGCCAGAATCATTTTGTAGCAACAAGACTTGCAACACTGTATTTTTAGAAAGTCAAAGACAAACAACACATCATGTAGCTTCTGAAGTGTTTCACTTGCCACTCATGCTAAAACCGCTAGCAAGGTTCACCTCCAACAAAGAGCACAATTGTTTTCTGAAGAATTAGACTTCCTCAGGGTTTGATCCTAGAACAAATTCTTATTTCAGGAATGTAACTTCACACATACAAGCAATCACAGCAAGTTCCACGGGATTATTCGTGTCAAAGTTATTCATGGATACACACTTACAGAATCGGGATCCTGGCGTTTACAAGAAGAATCATTTTTGTTTGCATTTCTTAACAAGTGATGTAAAAGAATGAATTTTAAATGATTCTATAAGCAATTTTGTTGCCACTATAATAACCGCACTTAAACATAGCTAGTTATTTTCCAATGAATAATTCAATTAGTTGTTTTATTACTCTATTATGAGGATGCTGACGATTGCATTTTAAGGTCCAAAAAAATATCTGCTTAATCAAAACTCTGCTCTCCAGCAGCAACAGCTTGTACTGTGCTGTTTAGCTGGCTACACTCCAGTAGCTTAAATTTAAGAGTCAGCTTTATTTAGAAATGCAGTAAGTGAAAACTGGAAAAAAAATATCCCACACCTACAGCTGTCACCTAAAATTAAACACAATGTTTTTCTCCAAATCCCAAGGGTACTTTGAAAAGGTGTCATGTGATCATATTCAGCTACTGCACTGCAGTGAAGAACATGTTAAAGCTGTAACAGATAACCTAAGTTCTTTCATTCAAAGATGTTAAAAAACTAACAAAGGGGAAAATCGGGTATAATCATCTACAAGTCTTCAAACAAAGTAATTATTTATTGCGCTTTATTAAGAACATCTGAAAACCACTACATACATATAAATAGCTTAGGAACATTCTCTTTTCGCCTCTGTTCTTATCTGCAACGTAGGTGAAAAGAAAGAAACTATACATATTACGCAGAGGACAAAAGAAAAACCCTGAAAGGGATTGACCAGTGTTAGACACAATAAATCCATGCAGAAATACGTGCGCTATCAAACCAACTGGCTCACGCAAAACAGTTAAGTGATCTTAATCTCCCAAGGAGACTGAATTAGTGTCTCCATCCCGTTTAAAATGCGCATTCTCTCAGTAAGATATTCCTTCAACATAACATGATTTCTCATCTTTAACAGTATTTTTAAAACCTTTAATAGAACTGGATCAAACTCTGAACTCATAACAACAAATAAATTATAAAAAAAACAAGGATATAGCTAAAAATTGTAGTAGCAAATTTAGTATATTTTTAATGTCACATTCTCATCTATTAGGTCTTGTTTTATGCAAATACACTTACTTTGCAGCCAGTATATGACCTTAAGATGAAAAAACTAGATGGTATTCTTGAAGGACTACTTATTTTATTTGTATTAACAGAATTACAGAAAATGATTCTATTTTTGGCGTATATAAAAGAAACCGCATGCAAGAAAACCAACTTTAAGAATATACTTACGAAATCAAAGTCTCCATCTTGAGGGACTTTCCAGTTATCAGGGAAAACATTTTTGGATATGTGGTAAGGTTCATGCATGTTCTGATTACAGTTTTCAGGGCTTTTATTCTTGGAATCTTGTTTATCAAAGTAGTCCATGAAAGAAGGTCTTTGTACTTGCGGTGAAGTAGCATTTCCTTAGTTGAAAGAAAAAAGAAAAGTTAAAACTCTTTAAAGATGAAAGATTTATGTCCTATAAAATAAACTCCATTTATTAATTCAATGAACTCTATTTATTAACTCATTGCCTTAATTTCCCTGGATTTTAAAGAAACTACTACAATCATCTGTATGCGGTGCAAGTCTCTGTTTGTCCCCTGAGGATCTCTGGCATAAAAGCTCATAGCCCAAGAATGATATTTTTGCAGCAAGATACAATGTGGGGAAATGTTCAAGACATTTCAGAGTTGCATGCACAAATAGCATTTAGAAGTTACTTCATGTGATATCTATTTGTTGTTATAGAAACTGAACAACACAAGGTGCTAAGGCATCCCTTTGGGTGCTGAATGCCCTTAACTTTAAGGCCTGGTGCACAGGCACTAGTAGGAAAGCAAGCAAGTTCCATCAGTTTCATCATAACTGCGAATTAAAAATTATTTTTTTTTTAAATCGCAAAAATACAACTGCACAAATTGTGTCTAGATGTTGCTTAATTAAATGCATTGCTAACTGACAATTCTCAGCATATTATAGGATCACACTCTACAGATGGCTGCAAAGTGCCCTATCTCTATGGTGTAGAAACCCCGAGGGATTGTTTGTCATCATCTACACAGCTGCAAGAGCTTTATGAAACACAGACCAAGACCATACTATGAACTCTCATTCTATTATCCTTTTCATGAAACTAAAGTAAAAATAAATAAATAAATAAAACATAACCCTAAATGATTGAAATTTGTTTCAGGATTCAGGGATTTCAAAGTGAATTAATTATTATATAGAGCAACAAATAAAACCTAACAAATACTTCAGTAGTTCTACGTAATGGTTATCTCAGATTATTTCTGCAACAGTATTATGACTCATGAAACATGTACTTGCTCACAATGTAAACCTTTTTTCATAGAGAAATATGAAATACATTTCCACTAGTAAAATACGGAACAGGATGAGAAATATAAACAATCAACCCGAAAAAGAATACAGGTAGAACTACACTTAATTATAAATGTTACAAAAGAATTAAGACATTTTGTTTGAGCCATTTGTTTTTAAAAAGAGGAAAAACGGAAGACATTAGAAATACTTTCTGAGCATTAGGACTTGCAGATCTTTGCATCTGACTACATTTAATTTTACTAATTCAATGACATTTTTCTTTCATCTTTTATTTCATCATCTTTTCCTATAGTATCTCATTTCATCTATTCTTCTAGTTTTTTTATTTATTCCAATTTTGCTGCATAATTAATAGTGGCCTATTTTTCTCATTAATCCTAATTTCTGCGCTGCCATCTTTTGTAACATGTTGGCTTATTTATTCTTTTCTTTCTCCTTTCTACTTTCCCTGTATCATTCTGTTCTAGCAAGATTTCTTTTGTTTTTGTTTTTTTTTTTGAATGTATTCTTCCACTGTTTTGCCTATGTGGTGGGCCTTATGGCACTTCACTATTTGCTCCAACCTCAACTCCATGATGATTCCTTTGTTCAGTCTGTCATGTTTTCATACGCACCTCCTCCTCCCAGATTGTTTACCCATTTTTTCCTCTTAGTCATCGCTATATTCTTTTGTAATCTCAGATGACAGTTAACACTATTTGCTATCTTTTAATTGACAGCTATCTATCACAGAAAAGCATCCAGCGAGCCAATCTTAAGTTTGAAGTAAGTGGCCCAGGTAGAAGACACCTGCTCTCCCAAATCTCCCAAATCTGCTCCCACTGAACTTGGGATTACTTCAATGAGGTTTCTTAATCTCCGGAGTCTAGAGCAGAGGAGGGGATAGGAGGGAAATGGCAGGGATGACAAACAGCTAGAACAATTAGCACTAAAGGAGTGAAAACTATACTTTAGCAAAGCATAAACTAAAAAGCATCCAAAAGAAAGTGGTAGTAGGGGAAGAGGGGAATGAAAAACCAGGGTACAATGCATTTTCTTAATGACACTTTTTTATTATAATTGCTAGATTATGTGCTGAGTGCTTCCCAAAAAAAGAGTGAAACTGTTTGTTCCAAGAGGTACGGCACCACGCTGCCGGCCTTTCACTATCACTTATTTTCTTCCT